GTAGGTAATATATCATATCTTTTTGGTCAGATACCTTTGCTTAGGCTATCATGTTTGGTAGTGGGTCATCTTTGCTTTTGTGTTTATCATTGCTTAGGCTATCATATGTTTGATAGTAGGTAATACACCTTTCTTTCTGAGTTAGATACCTTTGCTTAGGCTATCATTTGTTCGGTAGTAGGTCATATTTCCTTATGAGTGATTACTTTTTCTTAAGCTATCATATGTTTGATAGTAAGTAATGCATCTTGTCTTTTAGTTAGACACCTTTGGTTTAAGCTATTGTTTTTCTAGTACTAGGTACTCTTTCCTTTCAAGCCTATTACCTTTTGCTTAGGTTATCATCTGTTTGATAGTAGGTAATATACGTGCCTTTATTTCAATTGGATATCTTTGCTTAGGCTACCATCTATTGGTAGTAGGTTATCCTTCCTTTCAAGTTTCTTGTCTGTTGTTTAGGCTACCATATCCTTGGTAGTAGGCAATACACACTTTTTTTTCTATTTGGAGATATCATGTGTTTAAAACCATTCCCAGTAGTAGTCAGTCGGCTCCTCCCCGTGAAGTTGTCATATTTTCCCCAGTGGAGTTGTAACCTTTTCCCAGTATACACTTTTCTCATGTGGCATCCTTTCCATCACAGATCTATGTCTTGCATTCATTTCATATCATATCATATCACAGGCATTTTGTGGCATCTTAGGGCCAAAAGTTGTGCATGTTTGTATTTAAGTCTCCCCTATCACGTCGAGACGAAGATTTCAATCTCCATATCTCCGGATAGAAGAAACTTAAATAGGGGCATCTGTCATACCCTAATTTTTGACCCTAAGATTCTTTTTTTTTCGTTTCGCATTGTCTGCATGGAATATCACGCATCTCATATGTCATACCCCCAAATTTGTCCTACCTTTCTCAATTTTCTCTCTGTAAGGTCATCTGGTCTTTGGCCATGATCTTTTGAGAATTAGGTCATAAGATCTTGTGTGTGTATTCATTACGACTAACAAGTTTGTGTATGTGCATTAAGTTAAAGTTCTTAAGGCAGAGATAGAATGTTCGCGTGGTTTTCTCTTGAGATTTAAGTAACAAAGTCCATCAACCATTATCCCCCTTTCATATCCATATCTATAAACCAAATCCATTTCCATAATTATTTCCAACTCCTTTTCCATAACCATTTTTTTATCCAAATATCCAATTTAAAACCCATTTCTTAAACCCATGCCCATCCTTAACCAAAAGCCTAAACTCATTTCCAAAAGTCATAAACTACAAAACCATTTGTTACAAAAGTTCCAATTTCATGTTCAATGATCATTTTTCTATACAATTCAAAATCTCATTCCAAGTTGCAAGATCTCATTTCAAGTTACAAAGTGCACAAGGTTTAAAGCTCTTCATCTGATGGAGTAAGCATTTACCTTCAGCCTCTAATAGTGGTAGGGACCTTAAACAAAATAAGAATGACCAAAAATCAAGACAAAATTGTATGTAATCATCATCAATAATAATCATCACAATCGAACATATTGGAATAAAATGGTAAGAAATTCGAACATGTTTGAGCATGTCTGAAGCAAAAACGAAAATGCTTTCATGACAAAATCATAATTCCCAAAACATGTCCGAAACATGCTAAACTGAAAAGGGAAGGAATGAAAGCAATGTCACAACATGTTGATGTTGTACCTCGAAAAATATGATCCTCGCGATGGACGCAGAAAAAACGTTCGAACAAAGTCGCCACCGAACTTTGTTCATTCCAATGAAGAAATAGAAAAATATCGATAAAACCTTTAAAGAGATAAGAACATGTTCGTCGCAACCAAATTCTAGGTTTGGGAGTCGATTACGCAAGAGGGAAGGTATTAACACCCTCTACGTTCGTTATACTCAACGGGAACCTCTTGATTCGATTCGAGAGAAAAGTTAGCTACGCTTGTTTGTTATCTTCTAAAGATTCGCTTCTAAGGGGAAAATTGGTGGTTTTTATTAGGGTGCTCGCCAAGGATTGGGGAACTTATGCCTACGTACTCCCTCGTGCAATGGGAAAGTCAAAGCATCGTAGTTCGTGGAACTACGGGTAAAGGTTTGAGGTAAAAAGAAAAAAAGGTAGCCCGCTAGGATATTGTAATCCTATGCCTACGTACCCTCACTGTGCAATGAGGAAGTCAGAGCAATCGTAGTTCGGAAGACTACAATTGTTTGGTTTGTATTTTAAGCGAACGAGTTTTTAGGTCGCGCTCTAACTGCTAAACGTTGACTTGTCTGCTCGCTAGGGGAGGCTAAAACACTAATTCATATGCGCGGAAGAAGGGACTAGACAATGTTCTTTTGGAAAGTTGATTGAGTTGTAGATCGCATGAGGGCGAGGAATTAGTGTTTGGAGACGTTTCGATCGCACGGGGCGAGAAAAGAGAGTTTGTTGTATTGGATGTTTTGTTTGGATGACGATTATTTGAAGCTTAAGAAAGGCTCATCGGGCCCAAGTAATCGGAAGAGTGAGTCGAAGACTCGACTCTCTCTCTTTTTCAACCTTAATTGTGAAAAAGTTTTGATATAGTTAGAGTAAATTAGACGGATGACGATTACTCGAAGCTTAAGAAAGGCTCCTCGAGCCCAAGTAATCGGAAGAGTGAGTCGAAGACTCAGCTCTCTCTCTTTTTCAACCTTAATTGTGAAAGAGTTTTGATATAGTTAGAGTAAATTAGACGGATGATGATTACTCGAAGCTTTAGAAAGACTTTGCGGATCCAAGTAATCGGGAGAATGAGTCAAAGACTTGACTCTCTCTCTCATTTTCATCTAAGTGTTTGAGAAAATGGGTTTGATTTAGTTTATTGTGTAAAAAAGTTTGGTGTAGAATCGAATTAGAAAAGTTCTTATAGAAGACAATTGTTCGAGTGTAAGAAAGGCTCATCGGGCTCGAACAATTGAGGAGAGAAATCGAAGGCTCCGTTCCAACTCCCTTTTCATATTTGATTGAGATTGTGTTTATGTATAGTTAAGTATATTAATTTGGTTTGAAGAAAATACTCGGAGTGAATCGACGTTTGAATTTGCGTACGAAATGGTTAAGGTTTTGAACTAAATGGTAAAGAGGTTCTAATTGGTAGAGGGTAAGTTCGATGGCGAGGCAAGAGCGCTCAACTTACAAGAGATAATGGGATGTGATATTGATCAAGAGCTTTAGGGTTGCAAGATACAAGTAATCTAATTAAGTTTTAATCGTGTGTACTAGTAAAGTGGGCTAGTCTTCTAAACGACCAACTAGAAGTAATTAATTGAATAGGTCTCACTATAAGAAAGCTCAGGAGTAAGCTTTGAATGTTGTGTATGGTGACCAAAAGGTTGATGGCGATGCTTAGAAAGCAGTCGACTTACAAGGGTGGAAGATGGCTCGATATGAATCGAGAGTTTATTTTTAAAAAAAAAAGTTTAATCGGTGCGATGGTAAGACATAAGCAAAGTAAAGTAGTAAAGTTATTACATGTTATGGGATGTGGGAATACATTTTGTCGAATGGGGATGAAATAACACAAGCAAGTTCGTACGGACAAAATCGACTTGAGTTTCGAAATCCCTCGGTCTTGGCCCAATTCATTTATCAAAGTCAAAATGGTAAAAGTTTATTAAATCACTTAATTAGTTTAATCCAAATTAATTATTAAAATTATTCGATTAAAAATTAATGTAATCAAATAATTAAACTAATTAAAATTGATTAATAAGGTTAAATAATTGGAATTCAATTAATCAATTAATCATGCTAATTAAAATTAATTATCTAAATTATCTAATTAAATCAAATAATCAAGTTAACTAAAATTGATTAACAAAATTAAATAACAAAATCAAATTCAAAAATTAATAATCATTATCAGAATAACTTTCTTAAGATCACACCTCCATAGGGTATCAAATGCAAATGGAACAACACCAAATGTCATGACCATACATATTTTGTTTATGAAAAATCCTCATATCTCCTGGATGCAGATTCACTACAGCAGTTATTAGGAAAAGCTAATGGTGATGAATGAAGAGGGTCAAGGACATGTCAAGCTTGCGGGTCCAAGACCCATCCAACCAATGCAATTATATATATATATATATATATATATATATATATATATATATATATATATATATATATATATATATATATATATATATATATATATATATATATATATATATATATATATATATATATATATATATATATATATATATATATATATAACTTACAGTAAATGACAGTGATTGATAAAAAGTGGAAAGAAACCATAGTACTCCCAAAACTGTTTCTTCTAATAATATCAGTTAGCCGCAAAACGTAGGAAATTTGAAATTTAAAAATTCAAAGCAACAAAAACTTCCACAGCATATTCCATTATCCCAGGCTTTTAACAATAGAAATACAAAAAAGAAAAATGAAAGTAAATGTTCATACATGTGACTTGTCAACAAAGACCACATTGTACATGTGCTTCCAATAACAGCATTATACCGTATCAAAATATCACATAGGCAGGTAAAACAAAGTGGCGACATGCTGTGCAGGTTAAACAAATTATCAACAACACCACACAAAAACTTAAACCCGCTCAAGTATCATAATCAAGACCATGTATTATGAAACCAAAATGATGGGCCTTAATTCACAAACCAATTATACTTGCTGTGAATTGTCATAACCAAACTAAGAAAGAATCAACCAAATATAACGAAGAATAAGTTTTAATAACTCGAACAAAATGTTGTCACTAGGTAAAGACAATTCAATGACGAACAACTCAAGATTAAATCGCAGCACAAACCAAACTTAACTGAAATGAGAACAACGAGTACTCTGGATTTGCATCAACCCAAAACAAGTAAGAACAGAATCAAGATATAGCAACATCATTGACCTTGTATCACAATAGCAGCAATGTTCGAAATTTAGATCAACAAGTTGCAACTTTACTGCAAGCGCAACGAATTTGCAACCGATGAAATACAACGCATATCATTATTTACAATTATGTTACAGATTGTTATCAAATCACAAGAAAGTAAAATATGTCCTCCGTGCCCGACAAAAGTGCAAGCAAATAAATACGAAAGCAGAACTGAAATTGCGTGAATTGAATCATTTGCAAAAACAATATAGAGCAGTAAACAAACAGGAACGCGATAGCAACCTTGAAATCAAATTTTTTACCAAAAACGTAAGTCGAGCCTGTGTTGAGTTGTTGTTGTTTGAACCCGCAGATGAAACTCAGGGGATTGTTGCTGCTGAAGCTATGAACCATTGCAGTAAATACCATCACCGCTTGAGTTTTGTTGTAAGTTGCGACTTCGTTGTGGTTTTCGCCTTAAACCCGCCACATTTGATAGTCACCTCGCAACTGGTTTTGAAGTGGTGAACTGCGGATGTGGTTGGACGCAGAAGCTCGCTGTTAAGTGATTACATGATGGTGATGGGTTTAATGGAGGAGGGATGCTGAGATGGTTGTGGTAGTGAAAGGAGAATTTGGGTGATGAAGTGTAGTGTCGACACAAGAAGAAGAGGTATCAGGAATTTTTTAATTCTTTCTTTTTTAGGTCTAGCCACATAGTAGGTCCTCTCATCAAAGCCTCCTTTTTTTTAATCAAAAGCCGGCATCCCCTCTTTCTCTTGCAACTCTATTTTTCCCCTTTTTTTTTTCTTTGAATTCATTTGGGCTTTTAGATTGAATGGGCTTAAGTGTTATCTTAAAAAAAAAAAAAAGTTTATTACAATACAGAAAATAAAGTTATTATGGATTAAGGTTTATTTTATGATAAAAATGGATAATAATTGGATTTTTAGAATATGGATAGAAAGTAAAAAATGGATAAAATTGGTTTAATTGATAATTTGAAAAAAAAAATGAATTTGATATGGTTTTGAAGAAAATGGGTTAGAAATTCATACTAAAGAAATCCCATAGGCACACTGCAGAAATTCAAGCATATCACTCACACAACAAATATACACTTCAAAAACCACAAAAATCTCACGCAGCATAGTCACACGCATAGCAAGGGAGGAAAGACACAAATTCAATACAGTTTTTCAAAATAAATCTACAACAGTGAACAACACATGCACTATACAAGATTTGGAAAAAAATTGAAGCATCAACAACAACAATACACGAATAAGAAGACCACAAGATACGAAAAGATTGTAAACCTGAGGTGTACCGAGAAGAGTCGAAATCGTGCAACACTCGCTCTAACACGTTAATTTGCTCAGTCGCACGCCGTCGTTGCATCTCCTACTTCCAATCGCATCCATTACCGTAAGCTAATTCTTCGTTTTTCTTTATAGATTTGTGATTGATGATTATGGTAGTTGTTAAGTTGTGTCCAATTTTGTGTAAATTTGTTCGAAACTGAGAGTTGAAGGCGAAATCAGTGAGTTGAGAGTGAGGTAGCCGTGAGAGAGATGTCGAGAAAAGGAGGAAAGCTATGAGAGTTTTCGTGAGGGAGAAAGGGAAGGTGATGAAGGAACGCAGACAAGAGAGTGAGAGGTAGAAATAAGCCATGGCGAGCGAAGAAGGTTATGCGCAGTGATGCGAGAAAGAATAAGAGTGAGGGCTGAGAGTTGAATGTCGAGAAAGAGAGAAAATGCATTGTGAGTGAATTGGTTTACACATACTGAGTTTGTAATTTGTGTTTCCTCGTGCTTGGATTCTTGGATATGGATTGGGCTTCTTGCTAACACCACTGTTTGGTTTCTAATGCACCTCATTTTGATTTTACATTTTTAAAATTAATAAATTAATTTAGATATTAGTTTTGTTAGAGGGTTGATATTAGAATTTGGGGTTAAGTCTTAAAAATTGATATTAGTTTTGTTTAGAGTTTTAATCTCGGTCTTAATTGAATTTTGTATAGTGGATCTCGATTGAAGTTAAATGTTAATTTTAATGTTGAATTATAATGTTTGATTTTAATATTGAATTTGAGTAGACTTGGATGCAATTTTGATTGTGGTTTGGTTTAATCCTAACGTTAATTTTATGGTAAAATCTTGATGAAATGCATGTAATTTTGATTATGGTTCCTTTAGCCAATTTTTTGATTACTTTGTGAACTATTCATTGAACTCCTTGATTTTAGTTAGTTAATTCTGATGTATGTGCTTAATGCAACTTTGGGCCTACTTGTGTGCTTCATATGATCCCTTGAGGATATCTTAACTCGATCTTCGACTAATTCAAATTAAGATTAGGCGTTGGAATAGACCATTGCATGATAATATTAGGTTAATTCCCTTAGGATGTTAACTTAGACAACCTACAATTAGGTTCTCTTTCCTCCCATGAGAATTAGACACTAGTCATCCTTAGTCGAGATGTAATTCTCCTACCACATGACAATGTTGAGAAAGATGTTATTTTTTTTCTACTTGAGAGTGGTATGAAGCATACTCGTCGATTCTATATCCGAGTTGGGGCCCTTCTCTAAATGTGAAGCGAAGATCTATCTTCCGCATGTTTGTGGTGGTTTAGTTGAGTATTCTTCTTACTTGTCTCTTCTCCTAAAACCAACAAACAAACATTTCTTTTATCCATAGTGGTCCGAACTACGGATGCTCTGATTTCTCAAAGTTCCTTTTGAGAATACGTAGGCACGAGGTCAATCCTTAGCGAGCAACCTTTTCTTTTTACTTTGTTTACCCTTATTGAGGGGAACTGCGAATGCTCTGATTCTTTTAGTCAAGATACGTAGGCATGAGATGCAATGTCTTGACGATCATACTCAAGAATAGCACCTTAGGTCTCTCCCTTTATGTTTTCACCCTTTAGCAGACAAAATAACAAATAACACAATAAAACAAGAGGTTCCAGTAGAGTACTAAAAATACTTAGTATGCTAGCAACTTCCCTAGGTATAACCAACCCCAGAACCTTAGATTCTATCTTTCTTTGCATTGCATTGCATACTCATGGGTTTATTCGTTCTTTTTCCCTTTCTTTGGATAAATTAAAGATCAGTGGTGAATTAAGATTTGTGAGCTTAGTTAACTTAATAGTTATGGTAACCGATTCTCACCGCGACATTTACCTTCCAGCAAAACTACAATAGGATGTCAATGAGTTTATACAGTGAAGGTTGGACCAGATGGTCAAGTCGATCATTTCAAAGCTTGTTTGGTAGCCAAAGGATATACACAGATATTTGACCTTGATTATGGTGACACTTTTTCTCCACCGACCAAGATTAGTTCAATCTGTCTCTTCCTTACAATGGCTGCTATTAATCATTGGCCGCTTTATCAATTAGACATTAAAAATGCCTTTTTACATGGAGAATGTGAGAAGAAAGTATAAATGGACCAACCTCCAGGTTTTACCATTCCTAGAAATTCTAGACTTGTTTGTCAACTTTTTCGGTCTCTTTATAGGATGAAACAATCTCCACGTGCTTAGTTTGGCCGCTTCAGCTCTGCCTTGATATAGTTTGGTATGACTAGATGTGAATCAGATCACTCAATTTTCTTCCTTCAATCCTCCATTGGTCAGCACATCTTTCTTGTGGTCTATGTTGATGACATTGTTATTACTGGAGATGACACAAAGGGTATCCAACGACTCAAAACTCATATTTTCAACAACTTTCAGACAAAAGACTTGGGTCCACTCAGATACTTCTTGGGTATTGAAGTTGCTCAGTCATCATTAGGCATTACAATTAGCCAACGTAAGTATGCATTAGACATCCTTAATGTAACTAGTGTGCTTGATTGTCATCCAATTTATACTACTATGAATCCCAACGTCAAACTTCTTCCGGGTCAGGGAGAGTTGTTGAAAGACCCGGGAAGATATCGACGTCTAGTAGGTAGACTCAATTATCTTATTGTCACCAAACTGGATATTACTTTTGCAGTGAGCATTGTGAGTCAATTTTCGAATGCTCCTTGTGATACTCATTGGAATGCAGTTATTGGGATTCTTATATATATATATATATATATATATATATATATATATATATATATATATATATATATATATATATATATATATATATATATATATATATATATATATATATATATATATATATATATATATATATATATATATATATATATATATATATATATATATATATATATATATATATATATATATATATATATATATATATATATATATATATATATATATATATATATATATATATATATATATATATATATATATATATATATATATATATATATATATAAAGGCTTATTATATGAAGATAAAGGTGATGCTAAAATCACGTGTTATTCAGATGCAGATTGGGAAGGATAACCTTCGGATAGAAGATCCACTTCCGGATATTGTGTTCTTATTGGAGAAAATATGATTTTATGGAGTAGCAAGAAACAAAACACAGTTGCACTATCTAGTGCTGAAGCTGAATATCGTGCTATGGCAGCATCATCAAAGGAACTTGCGTGACTAAAACTTAGGTTGGGAGACCTTCAGGACATAAGACTCATATGCGACAATCAAGCGGAACTTTACATTGCATCCAATCTGGTATTCCATGAACGGATCAAGCACATAGAAATAGTTTGTCATTATGTAAGAGAAAAAGTATTCTTAGGAGAAATAACCATAAAGTTTGTCAAATCTAAAGAATAATTGGCTTATATGTTTACTAAGTCTCTTAAGGGTTCTCGAGTGAATTATATTTATAACAAGCTCAGATTATACAATATATACGATCCGACTTGAGGTGAGTGTTGAGAATCGGTTACAAATAAATTAGTATTAATTTGAATTCAATTAGTCATAAGTGTAAATTATTTTATTACCTATTGTGCATACCTATTTTGTATATAAATATACACCATGGGTGATCATATTCGACATATAGAAATAGAATCACAATACAAGCCAACAATCCCACTTGAAGCACTTGGCCAATCTATAAACAAGAGAGAGATACACAATTTGAAAATAAAAACTAAGCCACCAAATTTGGTTGACGAACGGGTAACCAACAAAAACATGAAGTCTCAAAAATCAAAATGTAATTTAGAAACAAATAACTTTCTTAAGCATTTTTATCTTCCATACCTAACAATCAAGATGAGGAAGAAATATCAAGTAAAGACAATTAGATGAACACAAAAAAATGTGAAAATGCATAAATGGTATTCATCAAAAACACATTAGAGATGAATTTAAATAGACAAAAAAGAGTACCTGACATATTTGCGGTGAGTTGTTTTTCATTTTCATCTCTGCAACTGTACCTGATAAGTAAGACTTTTACTAGATGCGGTAGCAGTTCGTGTATGTGAATTTGTCTTTTAACAACAGTAAGATTGGGCAACAACATGAGTGACACATAATTTAATACTATGATTAAAAATATGAGTTAGTGTTAT